ATTGCAAGAATCAGAAATTGTTGGTAGATCCTGGTGAAATATTGGGTCACATAATGGAGTACGGATTCACCGCCAACTACAAGGTTTGGACCTATCACGGGGAATTCGCCAATCCGGAAGATGACGATGAAGAGTTAAGTTTCGAGATGAATGAGGCAGAGAATTTTATAATCGAAGACATGTCGCGTGAAAGAATGATTGTCGATGTTTCCACCGATAGTGATGATTTCGATGGTGGTTTTGATTTAGAGGATATGCTACGCCATGTTGAACCAGAGGTGCTAGCGGGCAGGTCACGAGGATTGGAGAATTGGCAAGCATTAGAGAAGGCATCGAAGGATCTTCTTTACGATGAAACGAAGGGATGTGATAAGGATTTCACAGTCTTGCGTTCAGTGCTTGAACTTCTGAGATTGAAGGCTAAACATGGATGGTCGGACACAAGTTTTAATGATCTGATGAGTTTGTTGCGTGTGTTGCTTCCTAAGCCTAACTTTGTACCATCGAACACGTATCAAGCGAAGAAACTCATATGTCCTTTATCTCTTGGTGTAGAAAAGATTCATGCTTGTAAGAATCACTGCATATTATACCGTAAAGAATATGCGGAATTGGAATGTTGCCCAACGTGTGGCACAAGTCGGTATAAAACGGGGAATGGGCCCGTAGATTCAGAGTGTACCGATCCAGATTCTGATAAGGGTAAGCGCGGGAAGATTCCTTCAATGGTGATGTGGTACCTACCAATTAAGGACCGCCTGAAGCGTCTGTACTCAAACCCGACTGATGCTGAGTTGATGAGATGGCATCAAGAGAGCCGGAAAATAGATGGTATGATTCGACATCCCGCCGACGCTCGCCAGTGGAAGACATTTGATGCAAAACACCCAGAATTTGCTAAGGATCCTAGGAATGTAAGGTTTGCGTTGAGCACTGATGGAATGAACCCGTTTGGTGACTTAAGCAGCTCGCACAGCACATGGCCAGTCCTTCTCACAATGTATAATCTTCCAACATGGATATGTCAGAAACGAAAGTACATTCTACTCACTATCCTCATACAAGGTCCAAACCAACCTGGAATCGACATAGATGTTTTCCTTGAGCCTTTGATGGAGGACATGGAGGAGCTTTGGAAAGAGGGGTTACAACTATGGGATGAGTTTAAGCGGGAGCACTTCAATCTACGTGCAATCATATTCGTTACCATCAATGACCTACCTGCAAACTTTTCATTATCTGGGCAGATTAAAGGGAAGACTGGATGTCTGATATGTCTGGAGAAAACTTCATACAAATACCTGACGTCGTCTTTGAAGACAGTGTACATGCGACATCGACGGTTCCTACCACAAAGACATAGGTACCGTAAGATGGCTAGATTGTTCGATAATACAGTGGAGAATGACACTGCCCCAGTAGCAAGAGGTGGTACATACGTGTATGAGATAACAAAGAAGATTAAGGTTGTATATGGAAAGGGAAAGAAGAAGACAGTAAAGAGGAAGAAAGCTGATGGTGACAACGGTACTGCGTCGCCTTTCAAGAAGCACTCAATTTTCTTTAAATACTTAGATTACTGGAAGGACCTAGAGATTCGACATGCAATTGATGTTATGCACCTCGAGAAGAACGTGTTTGATAGCACCGTTGGCACATTGCTGGACATCCCGAGTAAAACGAAGGATGGATTGAAGTCACGTAACGACCTTGTAGATTTGTCCATACGGCATGACCTTCACCCAGTACTGCTGCCAAATGGGAAGACCGAGATTCCTCCTGCTTGTTACTCGTTGACACTTGATGAGAAAAAAGCCTTCTGTAAATGTTTACAAGGGGTTAGAGTGCCTACTGGTTTCGCATCGAACATCAGGAAGCTAGTATCAATAAAGGATTTGTCCATTTCGGGATACAATGCGCATGACTGTCATAGGTTGCTAACAGTGTTCCTACCAATTGCTATAAGGGCAGTCAAACCAGTCCATACAAAGGTGGTTATAACAAAGTTGTGCTACTTTTTCAATCGAATTTCGCAAAAAGTATTTGATCCTTTGGAATTAGGTCCGCTTCAGACATTTGCCGTCGAGACTGTATGCCAGCTTGAGATGTATTTCCCACCATCATTTTTAGATATGATGGAGCATTTGATCGTTCACATCGTCCCTCAGATTATTGAACTTGGTCCATTATACTTACATCAGATGTGGGCCTATGAGCGTTACATGTCGATCCTCAAAGGCTATGTACGCAATCGCGCTCACCCGGAAGGATCAATGATAGAGGGATACACAACTGAAGAGGCAGTCGAGTGTTGTATGGACTACATAAAGGATGCTAATGCCATTGGCATTCCTGTTCATCGACATGAAGGTAGATTGTCTGGAAGGGGTACTGTTGGTAGGAAGCAGTTCTTCGATAATGATTACAAAAAGGTGTCCGCGGCACACAACAGCGTTCTTCAACAGCTCGCTATCGTTGAGCCATTCATTGAGCGACACCTAGAAGAAATCAAAGCCTGCTTCCCAGGGCGGTCCAATGATTGGATATCAAGAGAGCACAAGCGTCGCTTTCCTCTGTGGTTGAAAGATCTAAACCTGCCAGTTGGTGATTCTGTGGAGGAACTTACTTTACAAAGATTGGCATGTGGGCCTTCAAGTATTGTCAATTCATGGCAAGGTTACGACATCAATGGATTTACCTTGAGTACGACTACGAAGGACATGAAAAGCACATCACAAAACAGTGGGATCCGTGTCGAAGCGATTGACACGAGTGGAGAAAAGAGGTCGTATTATGGGACCATTCAAGAAATATGGGAACTGGACTATGGCCTAAACATCCAGATCCATGTGCTCCGTTGTGAATGGGTTAAAGACACAATAGGGGTTTCCGTTGATGACTACGGGCTAACGATAGTCGATCACAGTAAAACAGGCCACAAGGATGATCCATGGGTTTTAGCAGAGCGTGTGGCTCAGGTGTTTTATGTGAAGGACCCTTCAGATGAAAGAAAAACTATTGTCATATCCGGAAAGCAACAGATCGTCGGCATCGACAACATCGAAGACCCCAATGATTACAACCAGTTCGACGATGTACCATTGTTTACTGATCTTCCTATGCGAATTAAGAAGGTTGAGAGAACAATCGATGAAGCAAATATGTCGTACGTTCGAGCAGATGGTGTTGCCAAGGTTATTAAGTCATAGTTATTTCGTAACCTTTAGTTCTCATTGTATTCCAAATGTACGTGCATGAATTTAGGTCCCCCTTATGTTGTAATCATTAGCAAATGTACGTGCATGAATTTAGGTCCCCCTTATGTTGTAATCATTAGCATGTAACATTTGATTACGAGTTTTGAGCAATTTTCATGAGTTTTCTTAGTGCCAAAAACATTTGGAATGTATAATTGTGGCGAAATATTGGGAAAAAAATATATATGGACAGTTTACTTATAGAGAAAAAAAAATATGAGTTTTTTTGGTAAAAAGATCTTTCTATGCGGCTGGCTTAACAGCCCGCATGGAAAGATCTTTTTCGCATGCGGCCGGCTTAACAGCCCGCATGGAAAGATCTTTTTCGCATGCGGCCGGCTTAACAGCCCGCATGGAAAGATCTTTTTCGCATGCGGCCGGCTTATGTCGACCGCATGGAAAGATATTTTTCCATGCGGTCCCTAAAGCCGCCCGCATGCGATGATCTGTGCCTATATATAGGGAGCGCGGGGAGCCAAAATTTTCTAAGTCCCGGCTCCCGCGAAACCCTAGCCGCCAGGCTGCCAAAATTTCCCAAGTCGCCATCGCCGTCGTCCCCGCCACCGCCGGCTCCTCCCCAAAGTCGCCCCGCCCCACGCCGCCGCCGCCGCCGCCGTCAGGACCTCTCCCCCCTCGCCGTTGCCGTCGCCGCCGCCAGGACCTCTCCCCCCTCGCCGTTGCCGTCGCTGCCGCCAGGACCTCTCCCCCCTCGCCGTCGCCGTCGCCGCCGGCAGGTCGCCGTCGCCACCGCACGGAACTCTCCCCCCTCGCCGTTGCCATCGCCGCCGCCAGGTCGTCCCCGCCGCCAAGTCGTCCCCGCTACCGCCGGCTCCTCCCCGAAGTCGCCCCGCCCCTCGCCGTCGCCGACGCCACTGCCAGGACCTCTCCCCCCTCGCCGTCGCCGTCGCCGCCGCCAGGTCGCCGTCGCCGCCGCACGGACCTCTCCCCCCTCGCCGTTGCCATCGCCGCCGCCAGGTCGTCGCCGCCGCCAGGTCGTCCCCGCCGTCGCTCGGTAACATTTACTTTTAAAAAAAGAAATGTGAAATGTGCAATTGTGGATTGTGGATTGTTTAATTGTGCATCGTGGATTGTGATATGTGCAATTGTGGATTGTATAATTTTGAGAATGTTTAATTGTGGATTGTTAAATGGAGATTTATGTTTAAATTGGGACTTATGTTTAAATTGGGACTTATGTTAAATTGGGATTTATGTATAATTGGGACTTTGTTAAATTGAGATTTATGTATAATTGGGACTTTTGTTAAATTGGCAGCTATGTTAAAATGTGACTTATGTTTAAGTTGAGACTTATGTTATATTGGGATTTATGTATAATTGTGATTTTTGTTAAACTGAGATTTATGTATAATTGTGACTTATGTTAAATTGGCACCTATGTCAAATGGAGATTTCTGTTTAATTGTGACTTATGCTAAAATGGGACCTATGTTAATTTGAGATTTATGTATAATTGGGACTTATGTTAAATTGAGATTTATGTATAATTCGGACTTATGTTAAATTGGGACTTATGTCAAATTGAGACTTATGTCAAATTGCGTTAAATTGGGACTTATGTCAAATTTTTTTACGTCAAGTTGGAAGATGTCGAACGAAAAGGTTCCATCGAACGCACCAATAGCGCCTCAAGAAGGTAACGCTCCTCAAAATTCCGGTAGCAATAAGCATCCAGGCGCTTCTAGTGAAGAAACGTGGCGCACACCAAGTGACCCGTTTCCAATGGAAATAACACAAGTCGCCCCCCGCGATGATGATCCGGACTACATACCTATCGAACAGGCCGTAAGTGATGAAAATCGTTAGCCATGTATTATTCCCTAACTATGATGTGACATGAACCTAATGGTGTATAGAGTTACCTATTCTGTGCAGATGGTAGTCCGACGCCGCTCGAAACGTAAAGCCGGGAGGAACAGGACAGAGCAAGAAGTTGAGATGGACACCGCTACGTCTGCACCTGAACGTACGGAGACATCTACAAGTGCAGGCGGGAGTGGGAAAAAAAGACGTGGTGAGAGAAGCAAGAATAAATTACCCAAGGAAACTTACAACGTGATTGCTCTCGATCAGGATGGGAAGCCCATCGAGCCACCGATAGTGCGGTCCAAGTTCAGCAACGCCTGTGGCACTCTAGTCAGGACGCGTTGTCCCATTAATGTCAAGTTGTGGGAAACAGTGGACGACAACATCAAGACACTTCTCTGGAATGAGTTGCAGAAGTATTTTGTGTTCCCTCCTGGATCAGAGGTTAGGGGGAGAGATTACGCACTTAAAAAGATGGGAGATCGATGGCGACAGTGGAAGTCCGATCTAAATCGGGATTATGTTCAGAAGAATCTCCCACCGTTTACGGATTATGGACATATATCGCAGGCTGACTGGGACACGTTTGTTGCGGATCGTACAACAGCTGAAGCATTGGCTTTGAGGAAAAAAATGTCCGAGCTCGCGAAGAAGAACAAATATCCCCATAGATTGGGGTCGAGCGGATACGCTGGTCACGTCGATCAATGGCGGGAGATCGAGCAAAGATTTGCCGCGGCCGGTAAGCCCCTGCTGGTAGACCCCATGGTTGAACGTAGCAAGAACTGGGTTTGGGCGCGCAGCACAGGTCAAGTCTCGGATGAGGGAGACATACTATTCGAGACTCCAGACATAGAAGAAGTGACTACTAATTTGCAGCAGATAGTCGAGAAAGAAAGATCAGGACAGTTCGTCCCACGGAGGGAGAGAGATCAGCTTACTGCGGCGTTGGGGACGGCTGAACACTCTGGACGTGTAAGGGGTTTGTCCTCAAAGACAAGTTGGAAGGTCGGGTTTCCACAAGACGCACCAAGTTATAAGAAGAGAGACAAATACAAAGAACAACTATCGGACAAGATCTATGCGCAAGTGAAGGAACACTTCTACTCGTTGGCAGCTGAAAACCCGACAGCATTTCCAAGGTTATTCCCTGATAGCCAGCAACCCACACAATCCGCACAGCAAACAACTAATGTACCCAGCAGTGTAGGCTCAGTGCAGACAAGTACCTTCCCTGTGGATAGTATAACTGGACCAACTCCGTGCAGTCTCGTCGTACCAATCGGCCGCGCTGGAAAGACTAAGGAGGTTGCAACGGGTTTAGCGATACCCGGACGTCAATTCCACAACACGGCAATCCCTGAGGATTACGCAAGGGTACAGGTCGCCAAGGTCCATAGCGACCACGTTTCCTTGGAACTAGACATACCTGCACCTGAGGGGATTGAACTTCTCGGTGATGCAGTGAATCAGTTTATCTTGTGGCACCGCAGAGACATATTCCTGAGCGCGGCCGTTCTTGCAGCAGGATCTTCAACCCCATCCTCATCGCAGGCAATGACTGCTGCCGCTCCTGCACCACCGTCGCCTCCTGAACCACCGTCACCTCGACATCCGCCGTCACCACCACCGCTTAGGTCACCGCCTCGCCAACCTACACCACCACCCTCCCCTTCTCAACAACCGCCTCTCCCGACCCCGCAACCAGTTCAAGCCTCTCCCACCTCCCCAACTAAACAGCATGCTCCCCCGGCTCCGCCCTCAGTTCAAACCTCTCCACCTACACCCCAATCTGCTCTGGTAGAAGAAGTGCACATACCAGATGGTACTACATCCGAACCAAAGTCTAATACTTTGGAACCTCGTCGTATAATTCCAAAGTTGATATCGACATACGACCCAAAGGAGATTGACAAGGATAAGGAGAAGTTCATGTTTTCAGCTTTCAGGAATTCTGAGAAGAGAAAAGAACTTGCTCACGTCTTGTCAGACTCCCAGAAGTCAGTATCTCACGTCTTGTCAGACTCCCAGAAGTCAGTACTAGCGGCCCAAGATGAAGTGCAATCCTGGTTATCTGCCGATGTGCCTGAAACTTATGAGTATGGCAAGCCATTCTTGCCAACTTATCTTATGAACAAGCTACCATGGGAAATGAGGGTAATGCACGAATGGTATATGAAGGCATCTAGGAAAGGTCTCGGTTTCATAAGCGTCGCCGTCCCGGAAGGCGCTTTCATGAGTGGTCCTAATGGGATATTTTTTATCTCTTTCCAAGACCTTTACGCCCTCTACAAGCTAGATAAAATGGACGTTAATCTCGTTGCGGCTTTCTGTCTGTAAGTCTAAACTCTTTATTACATGTTGCACGTTTCATTCGAAACAAATAAACCAAATCTCATTTCTTCTTTATTCATTGTACAGTATGCAATTCCACGAAGCTGATAGAACTGGAGCAAAGGTTGGATACGTCGATCCAACAAGAATATGCAAAACACAACACACCGTAGAGCTGAGACAGGACTGCGAGCAATTGGTTGGCAAGACCCCGGAAGAAAAGGAAGAATATGTGAAGACATTGCACAAGAGGAAGAAGCTAGAAGTAGCAACATACTTGGCAATAGCAATGTTGGCGCACGCCGACAAAGATGTCTTAATGGTCCCCTACCAGTTCACGTAAGCTCTCTCTTCTTTTTGTTTAATTAATTTATCTTCTTCGGAATTTTCTGTCTCCAATAAGCCTATCTTATATGTAGAGACCACTACATATTATTCCTTGTATATCCGAAAGACCAATTGATCATATCATTGGACCCCGCACACTATGACAAGGAGACATTTATGGAATTCCTCACTATTTTGAATTTGTAAGTGATAAACATTTCATTACTATAAATTGTTTAGGTCGATCACCAGTCTTCTAACTACTAATAAAACAATTGTTTCCTTCAAACAGAGCACACAAGTACTACCGCAAAAGAGGTGGACCAGTACATATTCCATCCCAGAAGAAGTTATCCGTCAGGACTGGCTGGCCGGTACTATCAAATTTATACCAATACAACTAATTATCGAATAGTACATATATACTAAATATATCTACTGAGATCGGTCCCCATAATTATATCGCAGTGCTACAAACAACCACCAGGAACCAACTTGTGTGCTTATTACGTGTGCGAGATGCTCAGAGTAAATGGGAGGTACAAAACAACCAGTAACCGAGTAGGTCATCGAACTCTTCTCTACAAAGAAACCCATCTCGCACACACTTCTCACTGAGTACCGTTTTATTTTCCTTTCTGTGTGCAGATCCCCGAAATCCCATATATTGCACAACGATTCAACCACACTACTATCTTGAACGTGGCCGCTGACCTCTGCCGATTCATCCGTCGCGATGTCTGCAACGCAAGAGGTCTCTTCTACGACAACCAGAGTGAACTCGCAATGGACGACAAATTTAAACCTCTCAGAGAGTGGGAGAAAGAACATATGCAATAACATGTACACTACTTATACATATGATGAAAAAACTGTGCCACTTGTATTATATATTTGTATGTAAATTACAATTGAATTAATGGTTATGTATTACATGTTTGTTACTGCGGCACTTGTCTTATCTTATATGCTTACTACTCCGAAATACGATAATAAATCCCTCAATAATTTAATATTAATTACGAATCACCAAAATGCTAGAATAAATATTATTTTAGCTATTCGGAAATTGAATTTCGCATGCGGTCTACTTAAGACGCCCGCATGCGAAAATAGATCTTCGCATGCGGTCTTCTTAGGTCGACCGCATGGGAAAATATATCTTCGCATGCGGCTTCTTATATGGACCGCATGCGAAGATCTATTTTCGCATGCGGCCGTCTTAAGTGACCGCATGCGAAGATCAATCTTCGCATGCGGCTGCGACGGCCGCATGCGCAAATGGTGATCTTTGCAGACCATTTCGCGCATGCGGGCCGGCCAACCGCATGTGAAGATCGATTCCGCCCGTATGCAAAAACGCTTTCTGTAGTAGTGTGCCGCCGCAATTTGCTGCTGCCGTCCGCCGCTGCCGCCGCCGGGCTCCTTACGCCGCCGCGTGTGACATTCCGGCCCAATTAGGATGAGACATGTGTGGAGCTTTGTGCGCATGTTTAGTACCATTTTACTAGTTTAGCAAAGCTGAAACCAACTTATAAGGCTTCTTCCCTTTAACGATATCACTCTTGAGTTAACTCTTTTATATGAAGCGATGACAAAAGTGTAAGTGGAGTGGTATGTGTAAGTGGGTCTGCCGATCGGTTGGGCTGGGCTATGCGATCCTGAAGGTAGGGCTGTTTCAAATAGTATTAGAGCCGACCCTCGTGGTTGTACGTAAGGGTCAGTGTACGGTCATATGGCGCATGGCGCATGTGGGCTTTGTGTGAGGTACATGGCATGACATATAGCACCAGCACTGGACGTACGAACGTGTGCTAAGAGGGGGTGAGTTGAACCGACGGGGAGTCGGGTCCTTTGAGCGGGTGTGTATGTGACATCCCGGCCAAATCAGTGAGGCCTATATGGTCCCTGAGAGCAGTGTACGCATATTTAGTACCATATTGTTAGTTTAGTAAGGGTGAAACCAACTTATAAGGCATCTTCCCTCCAACCATACCGCCACCGTGCTCCTTCCGTTGTCACATACGGCTCCTCCTGCCACCGCCGTCGGATCTAGGAGGGGGACAGCCACCGCCACTGGATATGTGTGGAGGACGGCCGTCGCCACACGCCCAACACCGCGCGCCCAATGTCGCCTTCACCACGCTCATGCCAGCCACCGCCAATCTCCCAACCAGGAGAGTTTGAGAGAGTGAGGAGTACGAGGAGAGGAGAGGAGATAAGAATGAGATAAGGAGAGATAGAAGGGATGACTTGAAAAAATTTGAAGCGTACACTAAAGAGGGACAGAAGAGGTAACTCAGACTTCTGGACGGTCCGCTTGTTAAAATATATTTTTTCGTGCGGCTGCTTATGTGGCCTGTATGGAAATAGCTCTAGTTTTTATACGGCTCCCTAAGAGGGCAGTCTGCGAAAATATATTTTCACGTGTGGGTCTCTTAAGGAGTCATATCGAAAATAGGACAACGAATTTTTCCTGACGCAGATACTTATGATTCGTCTGCAACATGCTTATACACGAAAATTGTTTGTGTATTACTGTCCCCATAGCGATGAGAATCCATTGCTAACTTAATTCCTAACCACCCCCCCCCCCCCAAATACGTACTCTCTTCGCCCCCAAAACAACTTTATTTTTTAACATCTAAATCTATTACTATCTACTAAAACTCCGTTAAACTTCCTACAAACGCTCCTAAACCGCCACGTGGCGTCGTACAAACACTCCTAGGCTGCCACGTGGCATTATCAAATCTCACCATCGATTTTCATTTAAATTGGTGGACCCATCATTTTATACCATTGGATTAGATCTATTATTGAAAAAAATTAACTTTCTCTTTATATGATTTAAGCGCTTCTACTATTGGTTTATACGATGTCTTCTCCCGTACGTACGTACGTACAAAAACAAAACAATAGTTTACGTACTGTTCGCTGGAAAGAAAAGAAAAAACCATACGCATATGCATAAAAAAGACGACAAAAAATACATCATAAAAATCCATGATCTTTATATAAAATATGGTTTTCTAAAATATATTACATCACAAATATGAATATATATAGTTAAACTAAGATCTATAATAATAATATAAAATATCCAATCAATGTTCCTTGAACCATCTTCTAAATTATTTTTAAATTATATATCTAATTTGTGATTCCGTTATTTTCCTTTAATTAAATTATAAAAATTATATGGTGGTCCTAAATATATCACGACACATGGGGCTGATATATAATAGTTTGTTTTTTTTATAATCTATTATATACTAAAACGCCATTAAACATCCTTAAAACGCTCTCAAACC